CGCCTTCCTTGTTTGAGTACATTTTTCTTTACTTGTCTGAGTTCCAGCTATGTTGGTGTTAATTTATCTGGTTATCTTCGTTTCCACCCGTGTTTCTCTTTATTGTTTCTACTGATTGTAGTTTGTTCTTTCCCTGCTGTTGATATTACTATGTCATTTTTACATTGATAGTTTATTATCAAATCCTGTTCAATTTATTTGACTAGTAGGTGTCTGGATTGTTCCTCGTCACTACCCCGTCGAGGTTAGTCTTGATACTTACTGGGCACCGCTGTGGTGTGCTCATACTACACTTCTGTATGTTTTTGTGTACAGATCCAGGTATTTGATCGGTAGTAGCTGTGTAGGTCGTTGCGGTGGAGACTCAAGGTAAACCTGCTATAGCGTTCGCAGGCCTCGGAGTCACCTTCATTTGTACTTACTCCCATTTGTTCCTTTTGTTTCGGAGCGGTGATGTATTTATTTTGTATAACTACTCTTAGAAAGGTGATGTATTTATTTTGTTCCGACCCAAACCGAACCATGAACACCCCTAACTCTATCCTCTTCTTTCTCACTCTCTCTCTCCCTCTCTCTCTAAATTTTGATTCAACTAGCTATACTATATTTCGGACGAACATGTAAGCAGTTCTTCTTTGAGGATTTGCGTCTTCATCTTCGAATTCTATAGGCAATATTTATCGTATCATCTCTGACTCTAGAAGATACACAAGCTTCTAATGGCTATTATGGAGTTACTGCATTTGGCTCTTTTCTTAATTGATTCTGCAAATGCATGGTTTCTATTTAATATTTGGTGTCAAATTTGTTGATTCTGTCCAAATTGCCTCAACGGACATTCTCTGACCCCCATAGTTAAAAGACCCAAATTTATGGAAAGTTATTGTAGAGTTATTGAGCCTTATGCACTTTTGTTAACTAATTTTGCACATGCATATATTTATTGACTATTTTGTGTCGATTTCTTATTACTCAATTGTAATAAGAAGAACTCAACGAGAATAGAGAAGAAATTATGAAAGGCTGTTAACGCACTTATGTGCTGTCAACTATTTTGGCTACATTTTAGCTTACTTTTTTCCCGCATCGAAGCTTGAAAAAATGATTTTCAGGCTTTTTTCTAAAACGCAACAGCAAGGCAGTTTGTTGTAATTTTGGTCAATGGTGACGCCTTGAGTTTGAATTTGTTGCCTTCTGCACCTTTTGGACTTGTGGAAGTTTTAATTTTTATGGTGGAGACTAGGGGTGACAAACGGGCAGGTTGGGCAGAATTTGGGCGGGTCAAGATGAGTCAGGTCAATAAATGGATCATTGTCAAACCCAGCCCAATATGTATTTGGGCTAAGATGGGCTGAGTCAAGATGGGCTAAACAATGGGTCACAACCCAACCCGCCCAACTTGACCCATATTTTAGAACCATGCTCATCTTGCATAAAAAAGTCTTTTACCTTAAAATGTGTAAGTTGAAAAACTTTTCGCGGGGGGAGGTAGGATGAATGAGATACCTTTTGTTTTGGGTGAGTTTCATGGGTTATATTTGGGCTGATTAATGGGTTAGAATGGGCTATAAAAAATAATGGATTAACTTGGGCTCAGCCCAAATTGATCCATGAGCTAAAATGTTTGTAACCCAACCCATTAATCTCTGGGCGGGGCGGTTCAATGAGTTTGAGCTCAAATTGCCACCCTTAGTGGAGACTTATTCTGTATGGCTAGAAAACTTTTAGAATTAACATCAGTTGATTATAATCTAAGTTGTTCATAATTTGGACTAAGAAGTTGTTTATATTTGTTTTATATACTATTGCGAACAATGTTCTCGAGACGGAGCTAGAACAAATAAAGAAACACAATCTCTAATTTGATGCCATTTGAGCCGAACCTATTGGTTTCAAACTAGAAATAGTTAGAATATTAAAATATAACCCCTTTCTAACGGAAAATTTTATTTTATGTCTCATACAACTGGCACAAGTTGTGTGAGGCTCATTTTTTGGCTCACAGTTTTGTGGACCCAGATTTTTATGGACCCAGAAGTGTAAGATTGGGGTCCATAAATTTGTGAGACAAAAAGGAGCCTCACACAACTAATGTAAGTTGTGTGAGACACAGAATAAAACTTCTCCTTTCTAACCTATTCACCGTTAATCACCAATTTATTTGACGTAAGCGAGCATATACTCTTTTTGTAGGATTGAATATAGTTGCCGGTGTTGGTGAAATAGACGAATAAATAAGCTAGGGGTTCTACTAAGGGTGGCAAATGAGCGGGTTGGGCTGAATTTGGGCGGGTCAAGATGGGTTAGGACAATAAATGGGTCATTGCCCAACCCAGCCCAAAGTGTACCTAGGCTAAGATGGGCTGGGTCAAGATGGCCTAAACAATGGGTCATAATCCAACCCGCCCAACTTGACCCATGTTTTAGAACCATGCTCATCTTGCATAAAAAAACCTTTTACCCTTAAAAATAATAGTAAAG